GAATGTGAGCTTAAACGTTCTCCAACAATACTTCTCTGGGAGCCTAAAGGATGCTGCAAAGAGCCTTGGTGGTGAGATTTAGTGCTCATTGCTTGTTTCTAATACAAACTGTTCAAGTTCTGACTTGGGTGCTTATTTTGCATTCTGCAGTTTGTCCCACTACACTAAAACGAATATGCAGACAACACGGGATCATGAGGTGGCCGTCTCGTAAAATTAACAAGGTGAACAGGTCGCTAAGGAAAATACAGACGGTGCTGGATTCTGTTCAGGGTGTGGAAAGAGGACTGAAATTTGACTCGGTAATAGGGGAATTTGTAGCAGTTGGCCCGTTTATACAAGATTTTGATACTCAAAAGAGTCCATCTTCTCGTCCCGATGATGCATTTGTAAGAAGCCAGTATGATATGAATGAAGATGCGTCGTTAGAGCTTTTGAAAGTTGAGTCTCATGATGATGGGGGAGTTAAGTTGGAGGACGGACTAGGTAAGAGTTCTATTTTATACAAACAACCTTCGTAAAGGTGCTACTAGAATTTGGTGAAAAATCTAATAAGCTACTATCTATGTGTACAGGATCCTTTATGGAGTCATGGCCTTGGATGTGCAAACAATCTAGCTTGAATCACAATGATGATTTCGATATAGGCAAAAGAAGTGAAGAGGTAAAGAAGGATAAAGACATTTGTGTCCGAAAATGCTTGAGCTCTGTAGCATTTACAGATACAAGAACCGAGCCCGATAATTGTATTGCTGAACCGAACCAATCAATCTCCAGCAGCATGTCGGATTCATCAAATGGTTCAGGCGCGGTTGTGGTTGGAAGTTCATCAACTTCCATGGAACAAGATTGGAGCCAAATAAGAACACACAACAATAGCAACGAGAGCGGATCAACACTTACTGTAAAAGCCACTTATAGAGACGACACTATACGTTTCAAACTCGATCCATATGTTGTTGGGTGTTCTCAGCTCTACAAAGAAGTTGGTAAACGTTTCAAGCTACAAGATGGTGCCTTTCAGTTGAAATACTTGGATGATGAAGAAGAATGGGTAATGTTAGTCACAGATTCTGATCTCCATGAATGCGTAGAGATATTAAACAGTATGAGAAAACACACGGTGAAGTTTCTGGTCCGTGATTTACCTTGCGCCGCGATAGGAAGTTCCGGAGGCAGCAACGGGTACCTCGGAACAGGTCTCTAGCATCAATCTTGTCATAACACATATAATCTATGTTTTGGTCTGACAATAGTTACTCATAGAAAGATAAAAGATCTGTGTAGAGTGAAGTTGGAGAATGTATATAACCATATATAGAAAGACGCAAATCTTGCATTTTGGTTTTGGTTTCGGTTTCAAACAAATCAATTCGCTTGTCTACACGTGCACGGTATTAGCGTGGACCATACTTAATTGGGCCCTCCAAACCCTAAATCAAAATTGGCTTTAATGGGCTATGCTGGGAAGTAAAAAAAAAAAGGAAATAGGGTTTTCTCATCATTCTTCTCTGAAACCCTAGAACGCAAGCAAACCAGAGATCTATGGAGACAAAGGAAATAGATCAAGCCCAAATCTATGGACTACAAGGACAAACATCAAAAACCTCGTTTGAATCCAACAAAGAAGCAGATAAATCCGATGGAGATTGTGTTACTAAGTCAAGTTTAGATGATTCCAATGCAAGAAATGGACGTGATCCAAAACCTAATGAGGGGATCATTAGACATGACTATAGAACACTTTCCAAGGTAATTCAGATCAGAGTATTATTGCCTATATACCAAAAAGACCCTTCAAAATGTTTTTTTTTTTGGGTGATCGTTGCTGATATATTTTGTGATAATTTTGGCAAATTTGAACCAGGGAGAGAAGAAAGTGAAAGATAGTTACTTGTTTTGCTGTGAGAATTTCTACAGTCTTCCTGAGATGATCAGTTACATGAAGGAGAATCATGGTATATCAAATACAACTGTGACAAATGTTTTTAGGGAACTCTTGAAAGGTCGAAATGCGGAAGCATATTTGAGAGTATCACAGAAAAGAATGCTACAACGGCGAACTTTGCAGAGGAGGACCAGTGGAAGTGGCGTAGGTACTTCGACCAAGTAATAATAATGCTTTACTGATATTGCAACATCATGGTATACTCTACGCACAATATTCTTTGGTATCTCATTTACATCGTCTTCTTAGTTTTCCAATTTTATTTCTTTGCTTTAAGTTGGATTTTGTATAAGGCATGTTTACATGATCTGTATGGATTCATTTTCGTATTGATCGAGGTGCTTTCGGTTTTCACAATCTCCTTGATTGTTGCCAGGGCTGATCATGGTCTGACTGTAACGCTCACAAAACCCATGCTTTCGGCAGTCATATGCATATTGTCATTGTGTTTTTAGGGAGCAACAATTACTAGAGTTGATCTAATCTAGTGGTTTAGTCTCATTTCCACTCTTCAAGTTAAATTACATATGTTTGTTCTTCTTGAGATGTAACATATGTAGATTTTTTCTGAGTAGAATAAAAAATGTAAATGAAAATAAGTGATATGTTAGCTTCTATCTATCTTTTGCTTTCTCCCTGCTTAGCTATTGTTTTAGCTAATATTTTGGCCATGTTAACTTTTCTATCATGTATTGTGAACAATGTCTCCATTTATGGAGAATAAGCTAATCTATAAAAACTTGTGACCAAAAAAAAAAAATTAATTTCTTGTTGTTGTTTTGTTCGTTTGCGTTTGTTTATCATTTTTATTCGAAAAGCTTAAATTGTTATTTGAATTCAGAAATGACAGTTGTGATCATTATATTGGTGCAAGTGCAACCACATAATTTAATACTCTTTTTAAGACACACTTCCAAACCAAACTTTTTGTTCCAACATTTATTGATGAAAATCTTGGCCACACAAATAATTAAGAAACGTGTATCATCAATCAATATAAATAGCATCAAACAATTTCATCAGCAACATTACAAACGCGTTTTGAGTGAAAGAGAATGAAGTCTGTTTCCATCTTAGCCCTCTTGGTTCTCTTTGTAGTGGTTCTTGGTAAGAAAATACTATACATTTAAATTTTTTTTTCGTTGCTAACAATAAGTGTATATATATGTGTACCCAAATTCTTGTGACTTTAACTATATGTGAATTTGTAATAAGAGAAACGGTAACTTTTCTGGATATAAGACATCATTTGCTATTTTTTTTTACGCAGAAACGTCGAAGATAAAAGCCAACAAAAATGCGTGTTACGAGGAATACAATCCCACTGGAGATGATACACCTGATTTCCTTCTTTGTAGGGTTCCGATCTATCCATCTTTGTGTTATAAAAAGTGCCTAGAAACTCGAGAAGGCGCAAAAGGTGGGAAATGCGATTTCGAGATCAATCCTGAAGATACTAAATGCTTTTGCAATTACTGCTCTGATGATTCCACTCCATTGTACTTAACCAAACCAACCGATGCTTAGTAGTTAGCAAATCACAGCTGCTACATCTACAATCATGGACTTTAAATATTTCAAACTTTTCTTAAAAATGTTATGAATCCAAATTTCATTTATCGCCATAGTATTAAACAAAAACAATAAATAAAATGGGATTTGAAATTCCCTTTCTGCAAGTTTTTTCCATTTGTTATCCTTTTGATTTTGATTTTAATTGAAATATACAAATGGTCAGTGGTTCGATAAATTTTTACGGATCTTTTTAGTTTTTTCCACGACAAAATATTATGGATAATCTGTTTTTCAATTTTTGGGGTTAATTGTGGAGTTTGGGGCCTAAAGTCCATACATCTCTCATATCATAATTTAAAGAAATTCTTCCCAAGTAAAGTTCGAACCTAATTTATGGAGTTTCCTCCTGAGACCATTCAATTTTGTTGATCATTAGCACATGACAAGAAAGAAAGAATATTAAATGTTTTGGTCATTACAGGATCCGCAGTTTAAATCCAGGAGTTGGTTCAATTTTTTTTTTTTTTCAAAAAAC